GAGAAGAAGAAGACGAGAATGCAGACGAGAAGATGAAGGACGCGACGCGCGCGATTGCTCGAAAACAGCGCGCCCTAGCGTCGCGGCGCTCAGGACTTTTTTTCGTTTTTCCGTCGGCTGTCGACCGTGCCTTCGAAGAATTTTTCAGTCCCCGGTTCGAGCCAGGACACGGAAAAGAGCCCATCCCCGCCCCTGCCGCACGCGCACGCGCGAGGGTTTTAAAAAAATACGCTTTCGGAGACGAATCGAACGGCGCCGGTCGCATCGTCGCGCGACTCGCCGTTTTCCAGTTTCGGCGGTTCTTATGTTACGCAAATCCACGCCCTCACACCAACTCGCTTATTTTCTGGCGCCTAAACGAAGCGTCGGAGCGCTTCGGAGGTCATTATCTTTTATGTTCGTCTCGTCGAGAGGCGTCGCCAGGAATTTTGACGAGTCGATCGGCGTCCCGGGTTTGAAGCCCGCGCACGGAACTTTTTTATTTTGGCTCCCGCGCGCCAAACAAAAATACGAGTCGAGGCCTGGCTCGGCGGTGAAAACAACGCTTCCAGTCCCGCGGCGATACCTGCTCCGGTTTAGGAGGAATAAATTCGCGAAAGTTGGGGACGCGCTCGCCTTTTTTTTTCGAAGTCCCGAACGAGAAGGCGATCCGAAAAAAACGTCCCGCCATCGTTTGAGATCTTAACCAATGTACATTTGTGTAATTTTTGAAAAAACAAAAAAAAGTCACTGAAATTAACTTTACGTCATGTTAAAGAGTGTAATTACCACTATCCGTTCGAAATGTGCGAAGACAAAAATTGGAGCCGTTTTTGAGAAAAAGACGTTCGAGCTTTTCTGAAAATGTGGAGTTTTGTGTTAGTTGTCAGAGAAAACGGTAGAGTTTTCGTGAAACTTTATGACATTATTTAAATCACATGTACTCATAAATACAATAATGTGAACAAATAGCCGCTAATATAAATATTAATGACACGAGAGCCAAGTAAAAAAATACATTTTTGTAATTTTTGAAAAACCAAAAGAATACAGCAATATGGCATATATGTCATCTTATAGAGTACATTTGGCACTATCCCTACAAAAAGTTTAAGGAAGCAACTTTTGGAACCATTTTTGAGAAAATCTTGTATTTGTATTTTTTTAAATTGCACATATTGCACCCAATATTGCGTGAAAACTACTAAAATTTTAAAAAAAACAAGTACACAACTTTAATGAAAGAACTCACTATGTACAACAAATTTTATTTGATGGAAAAATCTCTATCTTCAATTTTGTTGTAGGAAGACAGAAAAAAATCATACATTTTCGAAAATTCAGAGTTAACGGTGAAAGTTAAACATATGTATGCTACGTTTATGTTACTCTATTCTTTCAAGAAATTTAAATACAAAATTTGGAGCCGGTTTGAGAAAATTTTGAAAATGTTCGGGGGGCTTCATGTAAAGTACCTCCAAATTTTTAAAGATTTTTTTCTAAATCTCAAAGATTTGACTAGAGCCAGATGGACAGGGGTTTCTTCCATTTGGAAAAAAGTCCTAAGCATGGTTTAGGCGCTCGTAGTGTTCAGGGACACCGGACGGACGTTTTGAAAATAAAACAAAATAAAATTAAAAAAAAAAACTCGTTTTCGGTTTCAGGGGACCCCAAAACGTATCCTTCGAAATCGATTGTCCGCAGCATTACATAACTTTCCCTACCCTACATATATTACTCCGTGTATACGTACGTATACGGGAAAGTAAATTGTAAGTAATTATATATTGTTGATATAAACACATTGAACATCTAGCTGTTGATTCATGTAATGAAAAAAAACAAAAAAAAACAGTGCTGTTCTAAATAAAGTTTTCAAAGATGTCCATCATATTAGATATTATAAATTTCATATAATATCATAAAGTAGTCCAAATCGTCCCTGTTTCTTTAATAACTATTATCTCTCTTGTCTATTACATGTGTAGTATTGTTGACAATATTAAAGATATACTGAGCACAGGTGATGTTCAGATACGCCGTGCACTGGCATGTTTTCACATAACTGAATGTGTGCAAACTTACCTAAATAAATTTTGACTTCTGTTAAAAGACATACTTCACACAAAAGATACTGAAGGACAATCAAAAAGCTGCATGTCTTTTAGAAATGTGGTTTTGAATGTAATCTTCTAATAGCATCAATTTACATGAAATTTTAAAAATTTAAACACTGAAGTACAATAATATAATTCTCAATAAAGAAATTATCTTTATATACACTAGGAAATATTAACTTTATTGGTATAAAAGAGTTATTACTAGATTGCATATTGCAAGAATGTTAACTGGTAATTTGTAATATTTTGGGGCCTCCATCCTGAAAAATTAGCTCAAGTAAAGTTAAATACCATATATACCCGAATGTACGACGAGTTTTTTTCTTTCTTTTTTTCCCCCTGGAAATATCTCGGTCGAAAAATGCGGGGGCGTCTTGTATTCGCAGATTAAGACTAGTCGGTTAGGATTTAAGTTTTTACATTGTCATTCCATGCCACGAAACTCGTAAATGTTGACGTAACAATAATCTGCGCAGACGGTAGAAATATGGCGAGTAACAATACGTAATTATATTCGCGCTTGTGTTCTCGGCATCCACCGCGAATTTGTCGGGCAATTCTGAACGATATTTTTGAATGGGCCGCTAAAGAGAATCTCAAACCGAATGGTATTGTATCCAATGAGCGTGGAAATGAATGCCGAGAGTTTGTTACGCGATGCGGGTTCGACGAAGCCGCGCAGAATCAGCAAGGGCGCGACGTACAGAATGGAATGTTCTTAGATGGCGATTGATGACTATGACTAAGAACACAAAATGTAGTCACTAACAAACTTTCAAGCGGGGCCTAAAAAGTCGGAAAATGTCACAGCCTGGAAAGAGGACTAAAAAGAAAGAAACATTGATACTTGTGAAGATGATGAGGGTAGTGACAAAAACCATGATTATGATGATATTAAGGAACAAGTAAATATTACTTCAGCAATACATTTAAAAATTCTCATCAACAAAGCTATTTTCTAGTCTATGAGACATTATGTAATTTTATTTTGGCTACATAGTAAGAATTAGTTTAAAAAATTTAAAAAAGTTTAGTAGGTCTCTTCAAAATTAGGGGGTTGTCTTATATTCAGACAAATACGGTACTTAAGTTTAAAAAATATCAAATACATCTGTTTGGAAACATGTAGTAACTTATTTCATGTAGTACAAACCACTTAATATATATTACTAGTCATAATAACTCAAATATATCTTAGTTTCTTGATAGAATCAAGAGAAATTATTATAATTTTTAAGAACATCATTATTTTTTAAAAGAACTAGAAATGCAATGGAGCAATACGATATTTTATACTTCCCGACACTAATTCTATAAATTTTATTTGTACACTTTCAAAAAGGACTTTGCTTCACCACTAGAAAACTAAATAAGTTATTACACTATCTTTAAAAAATATATTATCGCCTATAAGTAAAAACTTAACTTACCACATGAATGTAACCATATTTTCTCCCTCTATGTTGTTTTCATTGAAGTCAATACTATATGCAAATTCTATATATGCACGTCTTCTAGGGTTTTGTGGGAAATATAGTTTTTCAAATGATCGTTCTCCATATTCTAGCGGCAGGACGTCAATTCCTTCACGTAGGGCGCGATGAGGGAATAAAATCCAAAATCTATAGCTGATTTGCGTTTGCAAATAGTTGTAGCGAATATTTTCATGTCAATTCTTGCCAAAAATGCACATTTCCTCTCTCACCAGCGGGGCTTCACCCCAATAGGGACAAGCACCCGGCATGTCTGGTAACGTAGTGCAAGTAATTGGAAGAGTGTAAGGGTGAGGACTTGGCAAGGAAGAAGGAAAGGTCGCGCGCTGCCCATGGCCCGTTTGTTAGAGTACTGCGCCAGTATTCAACTGGGATTGATCCACGAAACCTCGGAAAACTACTGATCAGAGCAGCCTGCGTCCAGAATTCTCCCCTAGACAGCGGCTGAATTTGACTTAAGTATGTAACTAGTGTCGAAAATCCTGCCACCGTCGCGACTCGAACCCTTGGACCTCCCGGTTAAAGGCACTTCATTCACATTCATTGACGTCCTGAGGCCGTATAAGCCCGTATGGGTGAGTGGTCTTCTTGGGAGGGTGTGTGTGTGTGTGTGGGGGGGGGGTACGGTGGGAGATACGATGGCGGCTCGAGTTACGTGTCTCAGAGATGTGTTTGAACCTTACATTACATTTTTGGATATTTAGTTCTTATGGGGACTCATACTCTATAGCATGGATGCTCAGATTCGAGGTGACACAAAATCTATATAAAATGATATTGAAGGAATCGAGAAAAAATAATATTTCACGACAGAATTAAAGTGATTATTTCATTTTCTGAGAAATTCAATTTAAATGCTTTACTATATTAGAAAATTTACCCGCGCATAATACTGGACAGGAGGCCGGTCTTTTGAAATTTGAATACAATATGAAGCCATTTTCAGTTTTAAACAATGATTTACAAATTGGGAAAGGTCACATGGAACTAGATAGTCATCTTCTTGATGATAATGATTAATTGCCACATGTCAGAAATACTTACGTGAACATTCCTTGCTAATTCATTCAACTTCCTGTTACCACAAAATATTATTCACTTCATTCACTGATTTATATTCTCCTCCTTGAATTACTTTTAAAAATATATCAACAATTAAATAAAAAAAACTTTTATGGTATCAAAATGCAAGGTTTAATTTCAAATTTGTTTAAGGATGAGGATTTGAGGATATTTAAGGTGATTAAGGATGACGTTAATTGTTTAAGGTTGATTAAGTTGTTCCTTATTCAAGTACATAATACAAATACAAGACATGTAGGTATTGTAATGGCTTAAAGGCCGTCGGCCTAGCCACATAGGATCAAGTAAGCTAATTTGTCTGTAATAATTACCTATTAAATAATAAATAAATACAAGACACAAATTATTTATTTTCAAAAGTTACAAAGTCGTTCATTCTTCAAGGTATTGGATCCATTCATTTACTGATTTTTTACATTTATCCCTATGTTATTATTTTATTTAGGACTTCTTAATGAGTTCTTCAGTTCATGAAAGATAAATAATAATAAATTTGTACCAGAATACATTTTCAGACATAAGCACAAAGAAACTAGTTTTTCGGTATTTTTAGAAGATAATCTCATTTTTTGTTTTTTCAAAAATTACACAAATGTACATTTTGAGAAAGTAAAGCGCTGGGTCAATAATATTTTTTTTTTTAATGTTGCCATTGAGTTCTGTCATCTTTGACTTAAGCAATACCTAAAATGTAAATAGCTATTGTATACTCTCCATAAAAGATGTGAGAAATACAGGGTTTTTATGTTGTAACTAGTGTTTGTCTTCATTAAGCGCTGTTGCAATCCACACAAGTTATTTATGTATATATGAATTTCAAATTTTATAATTAGGTAGTGAAAATATCTTTCTTGTGTTTAATTGGTAATTAAAAATAATGTTTACATGGCATGGGTTTCCTTGGAGAGGTATTTTATTTTCCTTGAACATTTGTGGGGCAATGTGAACGTAAATGAAATGGGTCCCTTGACATTTTTTATCTAACTTTATCTTCCCCTGAAATATTATTTGGACATACTCTTACATACAATAGAGTTTCATGTCACAAATTTATAGGGTCTTCCTCTCTACCAAATTTAGATAACCTTGCCATCTTTGAGTTCCTTTTCCAGTTTCTTGATTGTGTTTTCAAATGAAGTCATTTTTTTATCCAAATCAGCAACGAGTTCCTCAGTGCGTGCTCTGAAAACAATTATGTTTACACAAATGAAGAACAACTAATTATTAAGTAAAGTTCATGAATGTGATTAAAAATTGTGGAGAATAACAATGCTGCTAATACTTAAGTGGCTTCAGGTCAAATTCTTAAATTTCTTTGGGAATGTTTCAACTTTCTAACTTTTTTTTAATTTTCATTATTGAAGACTTGAGCTATCAGTCACCACGTATTAAAACAAACTATAGTATGCAATATTGTTTGCTTAAATGTATAACATTTTTATCATATTATTACTTTTGACAATTTGAGTTATAAAATGAAAAGAATATCACCAAATTCTACACAAAGACTTACATTTCTTTTTTAAGCACTTCCAGTTGCTTAGTAACTTCTTTTTTGACTTTCTTATGATCTGCTGGCATATTTGGTGATGCATCTTTGTGACTCAATACTTCAAGCTCCTAAATTAAAATGAATATACCATAAATGTTAAAAATGTATTTTCTTTCATGATACTTAAGTTTGATAGTATTTAAATACCTGTTTTAGTGCCATGAAAGATTGTAGCTGATTTATCAGATATTTCCTCTTTTCAAGTCCCTCACGAAACTCTGTAACACAAAGCAGTTGTAATTTTGTGAATTGTAGTTTTCACGTTTTTGTTGTTGTTTTTTTCATATAAAATTAACAACCCAGTACCGTTCTGCAACTTTCTGAAGAAATCAGCTGATTTCTGAAAATCTTTCTGCTTCTGGTCATTCATTCTGCAATGAAACAGAACATATTGTTTCACATTACTTGCAAAAATTAGTAGTTAATAATAATTATTATTAACTACTAATATTAACTATTAATATAATTAGTAGATAATATTAATTCCTCTTCCTACGTAATCACAGACATTATTTAACGTACCTGCGTGCTGATTATTATTCAAGCAATATCTTATTGATGAATTCAACGCGACAAGCAGCGATGGAATGACGCTCTGGACAAAATGGCAGGTGAAGGAAACTTCTAGATGACGTCATGTACATCATGGCGGCAGAGCTGCCAGATCATTCAATGTTTTTTTCGGTACCAACCTTAAAACATTCTGATACTTTCACTAAAATTCCTTGTACCGATGTCAGTTGATTTAAATTCTGAAATTGGTCGTATTACAACTTTTATATTTTTAAATTATACTCGTATGCATTTACAACTATTTTTATTATTATTAAAATTACAAAAAATGTTTTCGCTATCATTTATCAAGGAGTTTAGAATTTCGAAAAAATGTAATTCAAAATTCGAACCGTACAATGTATTTCTTCTCCTCTTGGATTTAGTTCAATACTGGACTCGCAATCTTTGCTTTTCAATAACTTTTCATCAACTTTTCAAATTTGTCCACGTAAAGAAATAAAGGAAAGTAAATAATGATTGTGGAATTCGTGTAGAATTGCGTGTATTTTAGGACAATTGTTTGAACGAATTCTTCTTTATTCATGATTTATAAAATCGTAATGAAACCGTTGTGCTACGACTTTTAAACTATAGGATGGCAATGGTTATTGCAATAACTCGTTGATAGTTGTTTAAATTTGTTGCGCGTTCGGTGATAATGATCCGTGGATATGCGTTCAGAAAGTTTACTAACATAACTCGTTATCGATTCATTTTATGTCTATAAAGTAAATGGAAATCTGAGTTCTAACCTTTCCTGCTATACAATGGTCTAGAAAATCCTATGTTACCATCCTACACCATACCAAAGACCAGCCTATGCTACCCTTAATGTTTTTAGTAAAACTTTTACGGCAGTGTTTTCACCAATATTATAGTAATATGTAATATTGGTATTAGTTTTAAATTATTGTACAAAAATATACGATTCCTAAATTGTATATTAACAATTACCGAACACTTAAAATCCTGGTATTTAAACGCAATAGGATGTCTTCATCCTGATACAGGGTATCTTCATTAAAATCCTGGTACAAATATCAGGATCCTGTTACGTTTGACAACACTGCATGATGTGTTGGCCTCAAAGGAGGGTAGCTTTAGGAAAAGTGGAAAATGAAGTAAATGCGTGTGATTACTTATTTGAAAAATAGTTACAAATAAATTCATAGTCTTCAAACAAATAATGTTCAATTACAAAATTATAAGAATATTAGTATTAATATTTAATGACCAGCAAACTATTAAAACTAATGCGTTAAACATAAGCACTATTTAAAAAATAAAATAATATTATCAGAGCTACTATTCACGATGAAACTATAGGTATCACCTTTTCAGAATTGCCCGATAATTTCAAATTTAAAAATGTATTTAAGTAATATTTTTATTTTGCTATTTTTTACGGTGTCAAGCTTCTATACTCTGTTAAAATCAAAACACATATATTTCTATTCAAATACGAAGTTCTTTCAACATCACCAGCTGTAAAGAGAGGGAGACACTCAGCCAATTGGGAGAGTCAATACCAAAAATTATAGTCGTAACGAAGTTCGTGATTCGACGATAGCTGCCCCCTCTTCTGTCAGCAAGTAATCTCTAAAGGACTTTCAATTTTATGCGGAGTATAGCTTTTCCTCGACATGGAAAACAATGCGAATGAGAGTTGGTATTCTTAGAAATGTGAATATCAGTTTGATTTCTATAGGTAACGGCAAACAAGGTTAAAAAGAAAAAAAAATACTTGTTCAACTATTGCTAACGGCAGACTTTCGGGTATGAATTATATTGAGCGTCTCAACGTGCTGTCATGTATCACAGAAATTTGAATTGAATCTAATGAGTATGAAAATTTTACGCGGAAATCTATAAAATAATTCTACTTTCGTTTCATTTTACTTCGACTGCAATTATTGTATTTTAATAAAATGAATGGAACATTAACATTTTCACCTTATTTTATTTTACTCTCTAATCCCGAAGAAGTTTGATGTTTTTATTCGAAAATCTGCATGTAAGAAAAGTTGCATAAAATGTATCACTTTTGGGAGTGGTAAAAACAGGTATGCAACAATTAACGACAATAAGAACAATGTCACGAGAACATCATGTAGCACAAGCTGCCAGAATCAGTCTGAACGTTTCTATTCCGTGCATTTTGTCTCTTGACCTTTTACATGATCAAACATTTTCCTAAATAACGAACAACACCTATTCTTCGATTAAAATTTCTCTACACGTGCTGAGTTAGGAGAGTCTTATCCAATCAGGAGTTCCATTTTTGCGGTTTCCTAACGCCACACGTGAGTAGCGCATATTTAAGGGGCTCTGGCCAGCGGGCTCTTCCTTGGAGCCTTGCTGTCGCATGAGGTCTGCTTTGTGCAACACTGATTACAATCAGTGATGCCATCAGTACATAAGAGTTCACAGAATATGCAGAACTATTTGCATTTTTTAGTCAAAGCAAAACTGTTTCAATGTTTTAGACTTTTTCCTAGTACCCGCGTATCTAAAGAAACCGGAGGCACCTCTTGCGTGACTGAAGTATAATGGATCTGCTCATTTTTTCGAAAAATTCGACATGACCTTATTTCAAGATTTGTCTCCGAAAAACAGATTTCATTCATGACAAAATATCTCTCTTCAATACTGTAATTGTAGAGACGTCGATAAAAATATAATCATTTGCAATTTCTGAATTTTCAGAGATTTTAACTAAATGTTAGCTATTCCATTTTTAAGCTTTCTCAACGTTATCCGAAGGTAATGTTATTTCAAAAAAAATCAAGCTTTTTAAAAAATATGAGAATGTTGAGACTTGCTGTAATGTACCCCAAAAGATAAATATGCCCGGTTCAAACTCGCAGGAACTTGAGTTCATTTAAATTGAGTTTTTAATTTTTTATTGTTTTATTTAATTATTTATTTTTTTGAGAAAATAGGCTGAATGGCTCAGACGTTAGCGTTGACTGCTGGTGGAGTATGGTTCGACGGTCAGACGGACGTTTTGCCGCCAATCGATTGTTCAATATCAATGACACACAAATGTTGAATCTGAGTACAGAACGTGTTAGAGTAAGTAATTTACTAAAACAGGAGAATTTTTTCGTTACGAGGGCCCGACAATCGCCCATTTTCCAAGCACGAGTGCACTCCCTTTTCTTAAGTACGTACGTAGTAAGGGAATTAAAAATGGCGGAGACCGCTGCATTTTCGAAAATTGCAAAGAAAAAAGAACAACAAAAACTTTGCAATAGAGTAGTATGCTAGAAATTTTTCCTTCAGGAAAAATGTTTAATAAATAATATTTATCTTTAAATATTAATATTCGTAATTTATAATATTAAATTTTATTAGTAATAATCTTAAAATAAGCTCACGTGCATTTGGTTTTAAGAATAATTAATTAATAATTCATTGAATTTTATTCCGTAATTTCTCCTTGCTCTTTAAAAAGTCTCAAAACCGAAGCATTTTTTTCTCTAAATTTGCCATGTGTTGGTCGGAGAAACCACGTACAACTACACACCAGAGCAGCCGATCGCTAGAATTCTCCTCCCGATAGCGCATGATTTCGATCTAGCGATCTAGATAGTGTCGAAAATCGTGCCTCCTTCGCGATTCGACTCCTTGGACCTCCCGATCAGAGGCCCCGCAGGGACATAATTGACGCCCTTAGCCAAGCCCAAAGAAGTTTGGTACAACGTATACAGGAACAAGATTTTTCCACTTTTTAGATACTAGGGTTTCACAATACGTGTTTTTCTGACGAAAAAATCGCCGAGTTTTGCCACAACACTTTTTCTTTATTACATAAGTTCGCAGAAAACAAGAAAATAAAAAGAAGAAAAAATAAAAGGAAAAAGAATAAAGCAAAAGATGAAAAAGAAAAAGGGTCTAAAATTTGCGACTCTCGGTACTCGAAGTGACTACTTGGAATTCATTGTCAAAGAATGGCTATGGTGCCACTGAGCCATCGCAACAATTTATTGAATTATATTCATGTTTTGTAGTAGTCCTATGTAATGAAGTCAGAGCCACATTTATTACATGTTTAGGTTTTGAACAAGGACAGCTGTTTTGTACAATACACCTTTGGTTATTCAGGATTCAGTTTTCTACATTTTAAAATTTTAAAGATTTTGCATAAATGTTATTTATAAATATATACCTAAGGTATTTCAATGTCTTAAACATGTTTGTATCTGTTGCTCTATAAACTTCATCAATTTGCCAACACCATAAGTGTTACATTTTATGGCGATTGATTATCGGATTCTTTGGAAATTATTTTTGATTCTACTTCAAGTGCTAGAACTTAGGCAGTGTTCCACAGAAGTTTACAGTAAATGTAACAACAGAAAACTGTGAGGAAATTTTTGGCATCTTTACAGTTGATAGATTATAGAATTTTATTAGATCATTGAATGTAATTTCATTAGTTAATTGTGTTTTATATTTAGTTTACTGGTCAGAATAATTTTACAACTGTCTATGTCTTTGACATTTTGTTAGAATTATTTAATTACTTTTTTAAAGATTTTAAAATTTCCCATGAAAAGGGCATGTTATAGGCATACGGCCCACATGTTTATTATAGACCAGTGATGAGTCCCTTTTCTTTTTAAAAAGATCGGTACAATCCACAGACATGATATTTGTTGTTAATGGTTTGACATATCTATTGCACAGGAAGAAAGTTATATTAATGTTTCCTTTGAATTATATTTATTGTGCCTTAGTAAAAATCAATTTATCACTTTCTGACATAATGGCCTACTCTTCTTGTCCTTGCCATAGCATTATATCTGTGTATCAAAATCCCAACCTCCTCCAGTAACATTAATCTTGAACAAACTGGTGATCTTGGGTAAGTGTACTTAAGAATAGCTTTTCCTTCTAAATTATACTACAATCAACCTTTGATATGTTTGTGAATAGTACTAGAATAATGTTTTTCTGTACTTACCTTTTTTGTTAGCAATATTGAAAATTTCCTGAGAGATAACTTTTTCAAAAGAATTAAAAAAAATCATTTTA